CTTGAATTAATTTTCATATAAGGAGTAAGGGAAGGATCCAGTTTCAGCTTTCTACTTATGGCTAGCCAATTTTCCCAGCACCATTTATTAAATAGGGAATCCTTTCCCCAAACTACAGCAAATACTTGAGGCATAGTCATGTATTTGAAAAGAAATTTATGAAATGTATAGATCATGGCTCATTTACAAAAGACATCATAATCTAGTTATTCCAGGCTAGGTTAAATGATCAAATTTGCTGTCCTGTCTAGCTTGTTTTTACTTCTTTATGTGTAATTGAGGTGGCTGAAATTGAGGATTTTTCTAACTTTAAAATTCTGAGCTTATTTGATCTTATTGTGACTTTAGTCAGAGGAGTTTTTGAATTATTTTATTTGCTTGAACTGCATTAAAACATTCACATTTTAAAATTTAGTGATTCCTGGACCATAAGATCTGAAAAGGATGAAACTGCCCACTCATCTTTTAGTAAACTGACCAATTGACCTGATTCTAGTAAGAATTAGTCTGAAACAACATCACCACCTGGTGGCTTCTCTTCAAATATCACAATTTCCTTGAAGATGATGGTTTGGCCTCTTGTATCAAATTAGGACAAGTGCTTCAGTTATGACTATCCTAGGAAACAAGTTTAATCATACTGCAGAATATATGCTCAAGAATTAAACTAATATTTATGGCCTTGGCCTCAAAAACTTATTTTGAAATTTAAATATCTGTTTATTGGCCATGTACAGGAACAAAATAGTGAACCAATAGGCAAGAATATTTGCATTCATAGATCTTACATTCTAGTGAATGTAAGACAATAAATAATAAGCATAATAAGCAAGTAAATTATAATCTGTTTGGTGAGAAGTTGTATTAAAAGGGTAGGTTGCAATTTTTAAATAGGATGACATTTGAGGTGAGATCAATTCTACATGGTTGTCTAAAGAAAAAAATTCCAAAGACTTACAATCTAAACATTTAGTTTTGACCAGGTGCAGTGGCTCATGCCTGTAATCCTAACACTTTGGGAGGCTGAGGCAGGAGGATTACTTGAGTCTAAGAAGTCAAGCTCAGCCTGGACAACCTAATGGGACCCCATTTCTACTAACAAATTAAAAAGTTTTTAATTTGCTTTGCACACCTGTAGTCCCAGCTACTTGCGAGGCTGAGCTGGGAGAATCGCTTGAGCCCCGAAGGTTGAGGCTGCCATGAGCCATGATGACACTACTGCACTCCAGCGTAGGTGACAAAGTGAGACCCTGTCTCAAATAAATAAATACATAAATAAATGAAAACCAAACATTTAGTTTTAATTCTAGCATGATGCTATAAGTCTACTTCCTCAAAGACTTCATTTTAATAAGCAAGAAACTGTAATGCTAGGTCAATTTTTTTTTTTTTTTTTTTGAGACCGAGTCTCCCTCTGTCACCCAGGCTGAAGTGCAGTGGCGCGATCTCGGGTCACTGCAAGCTCCACCTCCCGGGTTCACGCCATTCTCCTGCCTCAGCCTCCTGAGTAGCTGGGACTACAGGCACCCGTCACCACGCCCGGCTAATTTTTTGTATTTTTAGTAGAGACGGGGTTTCACCATGTTAGCCAGGATGGTCTCGATCTCCTGACCTCGTGATCCACCCACCTCTGCCTCCCAAAGTGCTGGGATTACAGGTGTGAGTCACCGTGCCCGGCCAGCTGCTAGGTCAATATTAATAGGAATGACTACATTTTGAAAAGCAACATTGCCCTAAAGACATATATCTTTCCTACAGAGTAATGGCTGTCATTAGTTAGAATCACAAAATATACAGGAACTAACAGTTTTATTTTATTTTTCAACACCTTATCATGACCTTTATGCATTTGCGTTCCTATAAAAGTAGGAACTTTGCTCTTGTCATAAATTGAGAGAAGCAGTGGGATGTAATCACCAATAAAGATTAGCTAAGTTTCTCTTGGCTATTTATGGCTTTGTTAATTATACATTTGTCTCAACACTTTTATTCTTTAAAAAATTTTTTTTAAAATATGGAACGCTTCAATTTGCATGTCATTCTTGTGCAGAGGCCATGCTAATCTTCCTTGTATTCTTCAGTTTTAGTATATGTGCTGCTGAAACAAGCTCTCAACACTTTTTTAAAAAACCTTGAGTATTATGTGTTGATAACTATTCTATTTTGTGTGTGTTGGCTCATTAAATCTCCTTATTCAATGTCTCAACACTTTATCCATTTATTAGCAAAAAGATCTTGCTCTGTTGCCCTAGCTAGATCATAGTGGCTTGATCATATCACAGCAGCCTCGAACTCCTGGGCTCAAGCGATCCTTCTGCCTCAGCCTCCTAAGTAGCCGGGACCACAGGTGTGTGTCACCAGGCCAGGCTAACTACAAAAAACTTTTCTTTTTGTAGACAGGGGGTCTCATTAGATTGCCCAGCTGGTCTTGAACTGCTGCCCTCAATTGATCCTTCCGACTCAATCCAAAGTGCTAGGATTACAGGAATGAGCCATTGCTCTGGCCTTTGTTTTGTTTTCAATGCCTGTAGGGAATTAGTCAGTTCTTTACTAATAAAGCAAAGCATTATATGGTCAAATTTTGAAAAATAAGATTTTTTTTAATCAAAATGCCTAATGGGTCTTTTTTAGTCTTTGTCACGCTGTCATTTCCACAGTGACTTATAATTAGGTGCTTAATATAGATTCTGAAAGGCTGTCAATACATGTAAATTTGTATATAGTATTTCAGTTTACAAAGTATCCGGATATACATCTCATTTATCTGGTTCAGAATATGTAGTTTGAATACAAAATTATATTACAGCACATTTTTCCTTTCAGTTCTATTTTATTTTATTTATTTTTTTGAGACAGAGTCTTGCTCTGACGCCTAGGCTGGAATGCAGTGGGGCAATCTCAGCTCACTGCAACCTTCACCTCCCAGGTTCAAGAGATTCTCCTGCCTCGGCCTCCTGAGAAGCTGGGATTACAGGCACCTGCCACCACGCCCTGTCTCTTATACACATCTAGATGTGTATAAGAGACAGCCACCACGCCTGGCTAATTTTTTGTATTAAGAGACGGGGTTTCACCGTGTTAGCCAGGATGGTCTCGATCTCCTGACCTCGTGATCCGCCCGCCTCGGCCTCCCATAGTGCTGGGATTACCGGCGTGAGCCACCGCGCCCTGCCGGAAGGTTTGCTTTTCAATGGATCTTTGGGAAGTTTTAAAACATACATGCTCAACCTTTAGAAATTACTCCAGGGGAAATTCCTTCTCCACATCCTCTAGGTGTGCTTCCTTTCTCCTCTCAACACACTTCACTATCAAAACCTACATTACTTCCAACAGTCGACCCTCGAGGGAATAAGTCCCTGGTCCCCACGATCGTGACCAGCCAGTCCACACTGCCGACCCCAGAAATGCAGTCTCAAGTGCTCGGTCAGCGAGAAGAAAGGCGGGCGAGGTCCTTGTCCTGCAGGCCACAGCGAAGACAAAAACCTTCAGTTACTGGCCTCAGGTGTAAGGCTGCTCCGCATTGGCAGTGCGGGACCATTCCTATCATTATTACGTAGTCTTGTTTCCTTCTGGGAGAAAGAACCTGGGGAGAGTTGGGCTGGCCCCTCCGAGCGCTCCGGGACGCGCGTCCTCTGTAACGCCGCAGCCTGCGCCAGCGTCCGACAGGGACGTCTCATCGAGGCCCGACTCGCATTTTTAGTTGTCAGATTCGCCACTTTTTGGCGTCAGAATTTAAAAGAAAAATTCCGTTTCTCTATTTCAGAAGCTCTTTCTGTACAGAAAAACAGAAGCAGGAGATACTTCAGGCTTTTGAATTATTTTTCTCTTCTGGCGTCCACAGTATCTACATCCAGTGAGCGGGGACCGTGAGTCGAAAACGACGACGTGGATGCTCAGGCCACAGTTCCCGGCGCGCAGTCGCAGCTGCCCCTCGCTCCCGCCCCCGCCTGGAGTCCGACGTGGAAGTTGCTGGCTGAGTGGGCTTGCGAGGAAACCGCCTCGGAGCTGCAGCCGAAGGCCAAGGAATCACTGAAGATCGGCGAGGGAGGACAGGCGGTTCATCATGGGTGAGGGATTCGAGAAGGGCACCCAGGCGCGTTCGAGGCGGCCGCGGCCGAGGGCTAGGGTGCAGAGGAGGAGAGGGGCCGGCTGGGGAACCCTAGAGTAGCCAGCTCCTCAGGGGGCGGGTCGCCGAGGACTTAACTTAGCTCGGATCTTCATTTCTAGGGGTGGATCCGGCCTTTCGCGTTCTCCTCCGCCGTCTCTCGTTTCCCCTTCATTCCC